GAGCCTTTGTCAATCTCCTTCCCTCAAGCTTGCACCAATGGTCAACGAGATTGTTTCTAGCCTCTTGCCTCATTGGCTGCGGCGGTTTTAGGAGCTCTGACGTCATGGGAAGTTAAAGTGTTGCTGATGGTGGCAAAGTGTTGCAGTGCTGAATCTGCAAGCGTGGATAAAAGACAAATGTGGGGCCGAGCCTGGGAGCCCGTATATGTATGGGCAGGTATAGTCTGACACAGCGGCAGTCCTTGTGATAGACGCCAGCGGGAAATGCACGGGTGTGCAACGTTCCATAGGAACTCGTAAATGTGAGTCCGGTGACAACAATTCTGTGGGGGTCTCGTTAAAGTCAGCGTTGCCTTGCCTGTGTTCAGTAGGAAATCAAAGTGATACTTGCAGGGCTCCTGTGAAGTTCCTGCGTATGAAATTAGTTACAAGGGGGCCATTATATTGGATGTTATACTTTTATGTTCTGCATGCTTTTGTTTTGAAATATGTTTTTTTAGGAATGGATAATGTGAAACTGTACAACATGGTAGCTAAGGGTTAAAGCAGAACTCCAGGCAAGTGGAATCTTAACCCTTGCAGTGGGGCTGCCACTGAACTGCAAAGGTTAAGCGTTCCTTTTGTCTTGGGAGCTTAAAAAAGTAATACTCGCCTGAACCGCAATCCTGGCTGGCTCCTACACTGCTTTCTCCAGCGTGTGTCTCCTCCGCTGCAATGATGGTATGTTCCCTTGGCATTCTCACATCCAATACACTGTATAGAACTTGATGACTCGCAGGATCTTAGACTGCTATAGCAGAGGGGGAGTGAGGCTGAAGAGAGCGGTCTAAGGCTGGCCTTGAAGGAGAACTAAGAGGTTAGTGATTTCCACTCCTAGTTAGAGCCGACCTGTGACAAAGAAGCTGTCACAGGTCGGCTCTATTGATCGGGAAGTGAGCAGAAACATTCACCAATCTGCTCACTTCTCGATTGTCTCCCTGCGGTGACTGTCAGTCACCACTCCCCGCAGGGATTCCCCCCTCTATCGATTGGGATACATACCATCGCTCGCTCACATCCCGATCATCTCCCTGCAGGGATTCTCTCAGATCCCCCCCACCCTCTGATCCTCCAGCTGGTTCTGTCTCTTGATAGACAGAGCCCGCTGTTAATCAGCCAGCTAGGTGGATCGCAACAGTATTGTCGGGATCCGTCCCAGCTGCAGCGCTCCGATTCTATCGCGGGCCAATAGCTCGCTATATACTGAGCTTTGGGTCACGGGAGGACGCTAGTACATGTCTGCTAACTACTATGAGGTTACCCCCACAATTCTCTTTGAACAACCTCCCAGCAGGCCGTTGTCAGAGTACGGTCGGCCGGGAGCTTTAAACATCCCGTCAGCTGCATAAGCGAGTGGGAACCTGCCCAAATTTTAAAAAGGCAGTGATGTCTGTTTACAAACGATCCGCTGGCTGTAATAAAGTTATTACAAAAAACAGACAATAGCAGCCATAAAATAAACACAATAAGAAATGAAAGATATGATAAACAAGATTTGCCTGGGCTTGGCATCCAATCTGTTGCCCAGTCTGACCTGATTGGCTCTCATGAATGACCCTTAAGGTCCCCACACACCTTACAATAATCGCGGGAAATCCCACGATCGTACGATTATCGTAAGGTGTGTGGAAGCCGTGCGACTTCTACTACTGTAAGGTCGCACGACTTTAAACTTACGGACATGTTCGGTGGGTACGATGTTCGGCGGGTTTGTGGCATGTCCGTACGATAACAGCCGTACGGGTCGGTGTGCGCAAGCACACAGTGCCCGTTCGGCATTGCGGTCATCGGAAGCCCGCCCTTCAGGCGGCATGGCTTGCGATCATCACAAGTACGATCTGCCTATGCAAGATAGGCAGATCGTACGTTTTTTTTTTTTAAGTACATTACAACCATCGCAAGACAAAAGTCTTGCAATGGTTGTAAGGTGTGTGCCCAGCCTTAGCAATCAGACATGGTTACAATGGAAAATTGAAAGCTCATGAGATGCAAATTAAGCCACCTTTTTTTTAGTGTTGGGGAGAGCATTTACACGAATTATATTACCAATCAAAGAGTCAGAGTCATGGGAGTTAGGAGGGTTGAAGAGTGTGATTACACTTCAGCGGACCCAATTTTTAATGTCACTTTTCTAAGTATATTAATGGATAGAATGAAAATACCATTTGAAAGACTAAACATGCTATGCATCGCCTGTATAGATCTTAGGACATTTCTTGTGACCAGCTGGCCTCCTGTACATTTTGTAATCTTATACACTCATGTAATCTTATACACTCATGTAAACACTTTTTATAACTTCATCCTATCCGGATTTACGAACTATGAATAGATTTTGAGAACTTGATTGTATGAAAAAGAGTAGTTTTCAATTCAAGTAGTCAGACAAATGTATATTCTGCTTTAAAAAAAAATATTTACAACGGCTATTAGCAGGCTTACTTGGGAGAGATCCTGCTAATGGATTTTACAGCATTTAATTAGCCATTTGCGAAAACAGCAGAAATATTCCAACTATTATTTTACGATGGGGCATCATTAAAAGTCTCTGGCTTAATGCTGACAATGACAATTTCCTCTTTACGACGTGCGCACTATGCAGTCAATGCAGATGCATTATGCTATCTAACCTACTTGGTCTCTATAGCTGTGTTCTGGAGAGGGTTATTTGTGAGGTTATGTGAATTGTCTCACTGACTCTGGCTGTCCAGCTCTTACACACATGTGATTGTACTGTCACTGACTAGTAAATGTTGGAGAAATGTGGGGGCGGCACTGTGTTTCAGTATTACTCTGCATTCTCTTTAAAGGAGAACTATGAGATGAGTGCTTTTCACTCACCTCATAGTTCTATCCGACCTGTGACAATGAGACTGTCACAGGTCGGCTCAGTAGATCGGGAGGTGAGCGAACACATACCGGCGTTCGCTCCCCTCTCGATCCTGTCACAGCTCTCTGCCGTGACAGGGGAGGGGCTGGATTCCCTGCTCCGATCCGCCAGCGCTGACTTGCGAAACGGACGGGGGAGGGGACGGCTACAGCTGCCTCTGCCTCTAGATAGGCAGAGCCAGCTGTCAGTCACGCAGCTGGGCGGATCCCGGCACAATTGTCGGGATCAGCTTCAGCTGCGGCGTCTCAGTATACTGCGAGCTGCAGCTCGCGGTATACTGAGCCTAGAGTGACGGAAGGACGCTAGTTTGTGTCCTCCCGTTACCCTAAGGAGAACTATGGGGAAAAGCCTTAACCCCATAGTTCTCCTTTTAATCCGTTTGGGGTTCATCTAACTTAGTTTTCGCAGTTCTCTCTGGGGGGTGAGGGGTTGGGGCCAGGTACCAGCATTGTAGAAATGTCACCCATCACACCAGTTCTTTTTAGAATAGCAAAAGCTTCATTTATTAAGTTATTTGTCATATGAACAAGCGCTTTTGGGACCACTCAGGGTCCCTTCATCAGGCTTTAGCATTGACAATTGTACAGTGATCACATCCAAGTATAAATGGACAGATTGCATAAAACGCCGATCAACATACACTATGAGGTCAGAGGGTGTGTTGAATGGTGTTTTATGCAACTGTCTGTCTATTTATACTTTGATGTGATCACTGTACAATTGTCAATGCTAAAGCCTAATGAAGGAACCCTGTGTGGTCCTGAAAGCAGTTGTTCATATGATAATGAAGTTAAATACATTTAGGGCTTGTTCACACCAAGCGCGTTCCATGAACAGAGCAGTTAGACCGGATCAAAACTGCGTCTGATGTATTCCAATGGTATTTTGGGCTCTAGTTCACACCGCAGCATTCAGTTCCAGAGCATGTAAAAAAAAAACCTGCAGCAAGCCCTATTTTACCTGCTCTGGAACACATGCAAAGACCCTGGAATGCACTGAAAGCCCATTTTAAACTATTGAAAACAAAAACAACTTTTTTACATTTTTTTTTTATCAAAAACGCGGTATAACGCACTGCGTGTGCAGAAACTCATGCAGATCTGGTCTGCATTTGGTGTGAACAAGCCCTTAAGCTTTTGCTATCCTAAAAGGACTGGTGACATGTCTACAGTTTACTGATATTTGCGGCGCCATCCGCAGTCACTGCAAGCACCCCCCATTACAAGGGACTTTCGGTAAGGAATGCAACAAGGATAAGTATTCATTGGGGCCAGGTACGAGACACGGCTATGACCAGTAAGAATCCTTCTCCGCTCCTCTCCCTGTCGCACTATGGGGAGGAGACACAGGCCACCGGGCTGCCCCAAGAAGGCCTGAGCTGTGTGGTTCCCTTGTGTGAATCAAATGAAAAAGAAACCTACTCCTAAATGGGAGAGCAACTATTAAGCTATTCGTTTACCCTGGGCTTAGATAGCGTATGTGTGTGAAACTGAATTGCATTACATCATGGAGCGCCAAAAAGATAAATGTGTTCTTTTGGGGAAGGGGACCTGAAGAAGTAAAAAAGCAGCTCAGACCGTGTGCTTTGCCACAATTTGTATGTGAAAAGGCTGGTATAAATATTGTAACATTATCTGACCTAATGGGTTTTTTTTTTTCTTTCAGATTGAAGATGCCAGTGAGCAACCTTGAGACAATGCTACTATCTGACCTCTGCATTCTTTTTCTGGGTTAGTTAGTTGTTACTGCACAGCTTGATGAAGCACGTGACTCTTTGCTTTTACTAACTGATAATTGCTTGTTTACCTCTGGACCTCATTTTTACAAGAATAAAGAATATACATTTTTGCTTATTGTGTTACAAGTCTTGGAGGGGCCAAACCTGATTTTTGTTTTCTTTTTTGTTGTTCTATATCAGTCTAGCAATTAATGGGGAGTGCTTATTTTTTTTTCATATTTCAAAGCCATAGCAGGCAAAGACAACTTGGGAGACTTCTGCTTGAAGTGTTTTATGACTATTTACTTGGCATATAAGCATTTTTCAAACTAGTAAATCCTAGACCTTTACAATATGTCACCGGTCACAGAACACAGGGATGAATGTGCAGCTAGTAATATTATCCACCCTGCTCGCAAGGACAAGCAATATGTGGATGTTGAAAATAATTCTCTCATTGTGGCCCCAGTTTTTCTGAGACCAGAAGAGGATGGGGTGGCTTTTTTAGGATCCCGTGCAAACACCAAGGGTATACAAGAAGAGGATTCTTTGTTGGAAAATGGGAGTCAGAGCACAGAAAACGAGGACCCAAATGTAGACCCAACTTGTGAAGCTGTGGTACCACTAAAAGAAACCTCTTTCGCTATTGGACTGCAAGTTCTCTTTCCATTCCTGTTGGCGGGATTTGGTACTGTGGCTGCAGGGATGGTCCTTGATGTTGTACAGGTAAGCAATTTTGAGTTATCTTTAGTCGAGTTTTTTTTTTTTTTCCCCCTAAAAGGATATCGGTCACCCCAAAAAAGTGCATGTTTTAAATGCAAATTATTTTAAAGGTTCGTTTCCAGCTGAATGAAAGTTTGTAAGCAAGGTGCTTGTCTGCAACTGCTAAGGCTCCCCTCCATCATCGCCTACCCGCCATTGAGGACGCCATTACGTTTTGGGACTAGTTGTGTGGTAGAGCTGCATAGTGATATTTTCTTTTTTTTTTTTTCTTTCTGAAGCTTCCCCGAATTTAAAAATTGCTGCCTCCATTGAGCTTACGCGTCTTCACGTAAACACGCAATCAGGAAGCCGGGTGGCGAGTCTTTACACGCTGCCCGACTTCCTGAATGGGTCTTTCGGTATCGGCGAGTACCGATAAAAAAAATATAGGTACTCGGTACCGAAATACCGGTATCGGTGCATCCCTATTTGATATGCTTGCTCTTGTATATAACTTTATTATAATATTGGGATAACTCCATATCCGGTAAAATAACACTTTCACATAGTGTTGCAGTAAGGTGTGCCTTTTCTCAATAAAACTGTTATACGTTGGTTCCAACCAAAACTGCACCAAAAACGCATAAAAAATGCACATTTTTACATGCAGTTTTTAGGGGCACATATCAAACAGACTCTGCCTGGTGTTGGCAAATATGGTTACTTTCATGTACATGATATTAAACATTTTGGATGTAGGGAAGTTCTCTGGAAAATAAATGCATTGTGTTACAATTTACTTTAATTGTATACGATTGTGTTAGTCTGTTTAAACAGCCCCGATGCTGGCGACGTACACTGTACGTCGTCAGTCACGAAGGGGTTAAAGTATTGTGTACAGATGTGTACAAATAAAATCTGATATGTCAATGCATTTATATAAAATGTTTGATTAGTGATTTATATTGCCACTGAAGTTTTTAAGTGTATACGTTTGTTTTTTTTGGTCATTTCTTGTTAATGTTTCCTGTTTGGTTTATTTTAATATGATCCGCTTACAGAAGAACTCCGGGAAACCTTTTTCTTAACCCTTGTCATGTGGGGGTAGCCTAACTGCAAGGATTAAGAATGATTTTGCCCGGGGTTGTTCAATGTGGATGATTACAAGGGCTTGAAAGAACCGCCGGAGCCAGACGAGTAGCTCCCCTACTGTCCGTAAAGTACCGCAGCGCTGAATACTGAAAAATGGCCTGGATGGGAAGGGGGTTTAACACCGCGGATGTCAACTGGTTAAACGGCCGGCCGGGAGCTTTACATTCGCCAGCACGGCTGCTCTGTGACCAGAGGTCAAAGGGAGATCAGTTAAAGATCTCCCTCTGATCTTCTCTCTGGTCCCCGAATGCAGGAAGTGATGTATATTACAACACTTCCGCATTCAGCTGTCATTCCCAGCTACAGAAGCTGGGGAGAAGCAGGTGAAGCAGATATCTGCTTCATCAGCTTCTCTGGGGTCCCTAGGTGACGGGTTTGGGAGACGCTGATGTCTCCATAAAGAGGACCTGTCATGTAAATTGTCTATCACATAGGGGTTTCTTAGCCCCCAATGTGATAGCAATAAAGTTAAGTACAGTTAGAGTAAACATAATTTCCCACCGCCCCTCCTCAAAATTGCATAGGGGGAGGCTAGGATTTTAAGCAAGTAAAAAGCACTTCATTTAAGAATTTGGAATTTGTATTAACGTATGCAATGTGAGTGGTTGCATATAATATAAAATACAATTTTTAAATCCGTGTATACTTATGTTTTTGTATTCCCCACCAGAGTTTCATCTCTAACAGTGACCGTTTTTGTGATCTAGAGAGACCTTTTTCTAGATCATTATTATTCATATCAGTATTATCAGTTCTCGTATCCCTTGTTCCATCCCCTTCTACTCTCATTTCCCAAAATTCCACATAAAGTTCTATTCCCTACTTTTCCACCCATTTAAAATTGTCATCCTGCAGCATCTTAGTAGCAGTCTTTTGGTAAAAGATGGTTCAGGCACTGTATAGAAGATGATTTCTGCTCTTTATTCACTGCATTCAGCAGCCACACATATCCCTTTACGAGTAGTGTAAGTGGTCATCAAATATATTTGGTAGGTGTTCTCTCCTGTCTTTGTTCTCATATATAGCATGACTCTTGTATCTTTTTCTGTTCTCTCTCGTCTGTCACTTTTTATACTCCCCGTAGCTGGTCTTCCTCATTTGGGGCTTGTTCACACCATGTCTCGATCATGTCCAGACCAGAACAGTTTGTTCCCAGACCGAAAACGCATCCCAATGTATCCCTACAATATTTATGGGCTCTGTTAACACCTGTGCAATCCATTCCAGACCAGACAAAAAAAAAAAGATACTGCTTGTCTCATTTTCTCTGGTCTGGAATGCACTGGAACCCATGGAATTGCATCACTAATGCATGCAAACGCACTGGACTGTACCTGAAAGCCCATTTTAAACTAAAAAAAAAAAAAGCTCTTGAACGTGGCAAAAACACAGCAAAATTAAATGCACCGCTTTCCAGATCTGTTCCGGAAAATGGTGTGAACCTGGCCTTAGTCAGGGTTTCAAATTTTTTTTTTTTCTTGGCATGCTCTCAACGTACTCCACAGTTTTCCATTCCTTTCTGTGGTGTGCTCTCCGCTAAACCCTTTCAAGTTCCAAGCATCGTTCTGGTGTATTCCTCCTCTCCCAGGATTAATAAAAATCTGTAAAAGATCGTACCAATTCTCCTAATATGGGAAATTAGCAAGCTTCCAGCCGCTGATCTGTCCTCCGACCACTTGGCCCGGAAGTGATGTGTATTACATCACTTCCGGTGACACGGTGTACATTTTCCGGCTCTTAGAGCCAGGAGAAGAAGCTGATGAAGCAGATCTTTGCTTCATCTTTTTTGGGGTTCCAAGGTGACAGGGATCTGAAAGACCCCCGATGTCTCCATAAAGAGGACCTGTCACAATATATTTGCTATACCATAAGGAGCTTGTTGGTGTAAAAAATAAAGTAACCTGAAAAATGTTTAAAGTCCCCCGCCCCTCACGCACATGTACATACAACTCAAACGGGTCCGGTGCGCCAACCTGCAAAAACTATAATTGCTCCACACGTTTTTATATTGTCGCGAACACCAGAGTGAGAGCAATAATTCTAAGGCCATCAATCACTGGTAACACTAAACTGATTAGCAGTAAAAGCTTTTAAAACGTTGCCTATGAAAAATGTTGGGTATTGTAGTTTTTTGCGGTTTCACGGCCGAATGCAATTTTAAGGCTTGACATCTTTGGTATCTGTTTACCTGCCGTGACCCCCATCTTTTATCAAAAAAATTTATTTTTATTCTGTTTCTGTGCACTAAATTTAATTTGACTGTATTTTATCCTAAAAATACCGGTTTTATGAAAGTTTACGCAAATACCGTGCAACACTATTTTTTTTTCTACAGGGCCTCTGCTTTCAGAAAATAAATAATTGTTGGGGGGTCTGAAGCGGGTTTTTTTTAGCCAAAAATTCTAAATTATGTGCGCAAATGGTAAGAAATTGCTCTGGAGAACAAGTGGTTTATCTGACCTGCTGCGATCTGCCACATTTTCCTCTGCCCTGCAGCGATCTGCCACATCTGAAAATGTATGGTTTGGTGAATCTTTTACAAACTTTGAAAGCTGCAGTTAAACATGGGGAACAAAAGGTGAAAAGTTGCAAAAATGGTCTGGTCAGCTGAGGTTACGTCCCCGTTTACACTTGGCCGTTCACAGAATGCGTTAAACCCGTGCAACAAGAAATGGCACCCCAAATGTGGCCAGGTAGAAAAAAAAATTATGCGCATTGATGCACATGAAATGAGCACAAATGTGTTGTAAAATACAGCATGAAGCGTGCAGCTCAAAATGCTGCATTAGCTTTTTTGCTGCGTGTGCTGCAGCTCATTGAAATGAATGGGCTGACCCATGGCAAATGCAAAAGTGTAAACTGGGCCTGAGGGCCTGTTCACACGACGTCCGTTTTCTGTGCTGACCTGATCCGCACGCTCATGCACTAGAAATGCATCCCAATGTATCCCTATGTGGGCTTTATGGGCCACAGTTCTCAGGTGCACAGTCCGTTCAGGTTACGACAGAAAAATACTGCATGTCACATTTTGTACGATCAGGAAACGCCAAACGCACTGCACTGCAGCTAACCTACTGACAGCCCCACTCCAACAAAAAAGAAAAAAACATTTTTTTAAACTGGAACGCATCGAAAACGCGGCAAAAACACATAGCACCGCGTCTGCAGATCCGGACCTGAAACTCATGTGAACAGGCCCTCAAAGTGGAGCGCAGGGCCTGGCAGCAAAAGGGTTAAACTGTTGCTAGTGCATATGCTTCTGTGCCCTAGAGTAGACACTGAAATAATTTTGTAGTTTTGTATCTGACAGATTTGTTGATTTTTTTGTCTTTTCAGCACTGGGACATTTTCCAGGAGGTGACAGAAGTTTTTATCCTAGTGCCTGCACTGCTAGGCTTAAAAGGGAACCTGGAAATGACACTGGCTTCTCGTCTCTCAACTGCAGTAAGTACATTAGTTTTGATTGCCTTATCTCACAAGAAGACAGGGAGGCCTTGTACATATGAGCTTCAGCTTATGCAAAAACAGTGTACAGCAAGGCTTAAGGCCTTGTTCACACCAAGCGCGGAGCAGATCCAGACCAGAGCAGGTGCAGACCGGATCAAAACTGCGTCCAATGTATTCCTATGGTATTTTGACCTCCAGTTCACATCGCAGCGTGCAGATCCAGACCAGATCCAGAGCAGGTGAAAAAAACTGCGGAAAGCCCTATTTTATCTGCTCTGGATCTGCTCTGCAACGCATTAAAAAACGCATGCAAGTGCCTGAAAGCCCATGTTAAACTTTAAAAAAATATGTATAATTTTTTTTTTAACCAAAACCGGCACGGAACGCATCAAAAACGCTGCACAACCCACTGCACTGCGTGTGCAGAAACCTGACCGGATCTGCTCTGCATTTGGTGTGAACAAGGCCTTACACAGCAACATTTCCAAAGCTATTAGCCTGATCTGTGCTCGATCAGCTGCAACAAAGGGCAGTGGAGAAATTGATTTCTCTCCCGTTCATTGAAGGACACAGGCAACAGATTGCTGTTTTGCCAATCATCCGTGCGTCCCTCCGGTTCTTCAGGAGCGGTGGGTGGTACCGCGGTACCGCATTGTCCTGATGTGTCCTTCAATGAACGGAGAGAAAAGGATTTTACGGTGAGTACAAAAATCCTATTATCTCCATAAAGAGTACCTGCCAATGGTAACACATAAGGGCTTTTTTGTGATGCTCCTCCAAAAACTCCACTCGCTTGGCCTACAAGACTCTGCTCTCTCATGGTTCTCCTCCTACCTATCTAAGCGCTCTTTTAGTATAACCTACAAATCTACATCTTCCTCTCCTCTTCAGGGTGTGCCTGACCTGTCACGGCACACCCTTTACTCATGACGTCTGCTTCGCCCACTTCTCTCCCACATATCGGCAGGCGGCGCTGCCTACAGATGGGGACACCCATTCCATCTCCAGGTCCAGAAGGTCCAGGACCCAGCAATGTTCTCCCAGCAGACGCCTGAACTACCTGGGCTGTTCGTTTTCCTGGGCATTGATGCTATTGAGGTTCCAGATTGGCACATTCTCTGCATTTCAGCCTCCAGATCCCAACCTCTGCCACGATCCCAAAGATCTTGCCGCAGACGTTCCCGCTTGAGAGCCCTGAATGGCCTGACCTTCGGCCCGACATCCAGGGAGACTTGAGTGATCGGCTTCTCACCCCCCGTTCCATGGTTCAGTACCTATTACCTGTTCTGCAAGTGCGATTCCCCCGGCATTGACCTGTCTGTTCGATATTGCGGCTGGGTATCTCCGATGTGGCCTCTACGTGTGATATGGTGGGGTACGAACGGTGAATGTGACTATCATCTTCTCTCCTCTGCTCCAACCAGTGCCCCCTGCTCCATCCCCCTTTGCACAACAGCAATCACTGGCCTGCTTTAACAACTAGCCCTGTGTTTATACATACTGTTTTGTGCTCCGACTGCTGTCGTTACTCAAGGTGTACATGCTGGCTGGTGGAGACCACATAGCCCTTCTGTGTGCTCTAACCCTTTACCCCTTCTAAAATTCCTGCGCTGGAAATGTATTCATAGTTACTTTAGGAAACGAATGGACTTAGTTTGCTTAATCATCCTCGGCTGAGCTATGTCGATGTCGTACAAAATTCAATTGTGTTGCACTATGCCTTTTTGTACCACTTTTCAATAAATATATAAATAAATCAATATTTTTCGAGTGCTTTCTCCCAAATGTGATATACTTTAGTTTGGTGTGTAATGCAAAACAGTGCGGACACCTGTATCGCCCTATGCCCCAGGCAATCGTTAGTCAGTGAAAATGACACAAATTACTTTGTGCATGCATAGAACTTTAATTCTATCCAATCCCATATTCACAAATATAGTGCAACTCCGTTCATCATATATTTACCAGTAATAAAAAACGAATGCATAAGAAGATACAATTAGTCCAGTGTCTTTAATGACAATAATGAATAAAAAAAAAATGCATGAAAACGTTAATTGAAAGACTTCAGTCCTGAAAAATGTTAACACCGCATTTTTTCTTCCTCAATTAGTGCTCACTAGATCCACTTTCCGTGCTCCTTTAAATGTTCTCAAATGCACTTGCCAGAAATATCTTTGCAGTACTCTCCTAATCAGAAGAGAATCCTTTTCATATGTATCCAAACTAGAGCTGCAACAGTTAATCGATTAAGTCGATTAAAATCGACGATTGAAAACGTTGGCAACGTTTTCGATCGTCGATTCGTCGGCTATCGATTGCTTAGCCTGTTTCGACCTGTCTCCTCCTAGCCGTGAGCTCCCTCAGCCGCTACATAAGCCACGCCCACCGCACAGGCTGAAGCCGCGCACGCCGCTGGTCTCCTCGCCGTGAGCTCCCTCACCCGCCGTGAGCTCCCTCACCCGCCGCTGGCCCGCAGACAATTGAGGGCCCACCTTCTGAAAGTAAGTCAGGAGTGGACTACACTAGAAATGTAACTGTAGTGATCTGAATAATGACATCAGCTTATTTTAATAGTGAGTACTTTTCAATTTAGTCAGAATCTCTCAAGGAAACCTCTTATTGAAAAGGGAGGGCCCTTTTCAATAATAAGAGGTTTCCTTGAGAGATTCTGACTAAATTGAAAAGTACTCACTATTAAAATAAGCTGATCCTTGCCTGCCCTCAATACAAACTAGTGCAACTTGAATGATGTTCCATTTTGCTCATGTGGTTAGCACTTTCCTCCCTGTTCACATAGGAAAGGACTAGCACCTGTTCACTAGAGCAGCAACAATTATTTGCTTAAAATCGACGATGGAAAACATTGTCAACCCCACGTCGGTGAAGCCGTTTGCGCCATGCCCACCGCACACGCCGGTAAACCTGCTTACGCCACGCCCACCGCACACACTGAGGACATGCGCCTGGCCCTCTCCTCCCGGTGTGCTTCCGGACTCGCCGCTGCCCACCGACAATCAATAACGCCGCTGCCCGCCGACAACACCGTCATTCAAAGTAAGTCGAGATCGGCCGGGAGCTTTTTAATGTTTACTGTTGTGTTTTTGTAGCGCAATGCAGAATAACGCCATCTATAGAGGAATACATTAGGTCCCAGCAATAATACATTTTATATACATAATAGTATAGTATAATGTACTATTGCTGGCATTTGTTGTATTCCTCTATAGCTGCTTATATTCTGCATTGTGCCGTATAATCATTCTACAGCGCACTGCAGAATACCACTAGCTATAAAGGACTACAAATCACAGCAATAATACATTATATACAGCGCAATGCAGAATAACGCCAGCTACAGAGGACTACAAATCCCACCAATAGTACATTATAGCATAATGTACTATTGCTGCATTACTCTATAGCTGTTGGAATTCTGCACTGCGCCGCTGTATAATGTACTATATTGCACACCACACTTTTTTTACTTCCACCGTGCCAAGCTTGCTCCTGTGATGGACTACAATCTCAATAGAAACTAGTAGTCCATCACTGGAGCCTTTTATTTTAATCGAACTTAATAATCAGCTAACTAATCGATTATGAAAATAATCGTTAGCTGCAGCCCTAATCCAACCCGGGACTCCCTCTCTCCCTCCGTTCAATCCTCCACAGACAGGCGTTCTCTCTGTTAATAGCAGGATCCTCTACTCAAATCGGCTCTTAATCCTCTTTTCCTCCCTTCTTTCACCAATTCACCCATGGTGCCTTAGGATCAAAGAACAAAAACTCCCATTGTGCTGTACTATGAAAACGGTTAAATTTATCGCAAAGTTACACTTACGAAAAAATTAAGTAAATCATTCACAGCAGTGAGACTCCTCGTGGCATATACCAAACAGGAAACGGCTGTAGGCTCCGGAGCTAATCCTCAGAGAAGCCCGAGATCTGGTAGAGGCCTGGGTCCAGGTTAACTGCCGGCCTCTCAATTATCTTGCCTCGGCACCCATGGACCGCAGCAAAGACAGGTGTAGGTGCTACCTGCGCACTGCACCAGAATCCTCTTTTTGAATCATTATTCTACAGGATTCATATAGCGCCAATAGTTTGCACAGCGCTTTACAATATAAGGAAGATATTACAGTCGCAATACAATTCTAGACAAGATGGTAAGGAGGGCCCTGCCGTGAGGATTACAATCGAAAAGGGTTGATTGTCTGAGAAAGTGACTGTTCAGTGGTTAGGTTGAGGTGGGATAGGCTTCCCTGAAGAGATGAGTCTTAAGGTATCGCCTAACCGCATTTAAATCAGATAGTCGGACAGATTGGGGTAGAGAGTTCCATAGGATGGGAGAGACTCTAGTGAAGTCCTGGAGGCGAGCATGGGAGGAGTTGATGAGGGAGCTGGAGAGCAGGAGGTCTTGTGAAGAGCGTAAGGGACAGTTAGGGTAATACTTTTGAGACCAGTTTGGAGATATAGCCGGGGCCAGAGTGGTGGATGGCTTTGTAAGCGGTTGTTTAATATTTTGAATTTTATCCTTTGGGCTATAGGAAGCCAGTGGAGGGATTGGCAGAGGGGGGTTGCAGACACTGAGCGGTTGGTTAGGTGGATGAGTCTAGCAGCTGCATTCATGATAGACTGAATGGGGGAGTTGACTGTGTAGTGGAAGGCCAATGAGGAGGGAGTTGCAATAGTCCAGATGAGAGATAAGGGAGTGGATGAGTAATTTTGCGGTTTCCTTGGTGAGGAAGGGGCATATTTTGGAGATGTTACGAAGGTGAAGGCGGCAGGATTTGGATGTGGGCAAGAAAGGTGAGGTCCGAGTCAAGGATGACACCTAGGACCTTGGCATGGGGAGAGGGCTGGATAGTTGTGTTAACAATCTCAAAGAATCATCTTGTTTCCATTATAATGCCCTTATCTGTTCCTTGTTCCTTTTTTGCTCTGAATATTTTTTGCACCTGGAACTGACTTTGACATGTCATATTGTATCTGCTATGCTGGCTTCATACGATGCTCTTCTTTGGACATGCATGTCTTCTGCTTTCAACTAAATGGACCTTCTATGACCTGGTGATTCGAGTTTTTACTTTCAACTCCTCGATACGTGGGATATAAGTCTCTAATTTTTGCTCTCTTTGTATTGTCCCTGCTGATTCAACTCTTGCTCATTGCTATTTTAGGCGGTATATATATTTTGGGGTCGTTACTGCTGATTGTTGGTCCTCGGGCCTGCATCTGAGACCTTGGATTTTGTTATATTGCATTTTTGTGACTGCCCATGTTTACCGTGTTCTTGGAACACAGTCCTGCTCCACTGTGCTGTTATGTTGTCTCTCTGGTTGCATGGTCTTGGGGGATGGGCCTTTCCCTTTTACTGGGGCCCTGGACTAATATGTGCACCACTGCAAGCTCATGCCATGGATTAAGTCTGTACTGCTTTTTTCTTTTGCAGTACATACTGCCTCCTGTGACCGTGCAATCGGCCCGATGATTTGTGTCTATTGGGCATTACTTGTTGTTTAGACTCTTGGTGTAGATATTTTTGTTCCTACTACCCATTGCACTAAGTTTTTGTAGTTCCTACTTTATCCCGTTTAGCAACCATTTTAAAATATATAAATGCGCTAAGTGCGCAACCGTTTTGCCTTCTATATTCATAGCCTTTGATAGGTCTCTCCCCTTTGTCCATATATTACTTGTAGTATATTCCTTTGACTTCAGGTTACCCTCCACACATGTGGATGTTAGTTGGCACACAACTTTGACTTTACATGGCACATGAAGAACCCTACAGCCTTCTGTTCTGTCCCTGCAACACGTTACCCTGTGACCTCTGTATAGCTCGACATGCAGCTGAACCCTCCTATTCTGGGTGAATCATGGACAGGTTGGCAACCCTACTCCAGACGTGCACTCAGTCTCTTATCCTTGATTCCAAAATAGAGACTAGGTTCTTACCATAGAAAAACAGTTGCTCTATAGTAAATAGTGAGACATGCTCTACAGCACCATCTTGCAGCCAATTTTGAGATGACAGTTAGGTAACTCAATACATCTAATGCCTGTAAGGCAGAACACTATCCGCCTGGGATCAACTGATGCCACTATTTTGATTTTCAAGAGCTAAAGATCTGTTTGCAACTGGTCCAAGGTACAGCATTGTCACTTTGGGGTGGTTGCTGGCTCCCTGTAAGTTACCTTTGATGGGAGTGAGATGGGCGATAACTTGAAGGAAAGAATTCCAGGTTGAAAGTCTTTTATAATCTTTGGTATTTGAGTTGACTGTCTAACTTTACTTTTTGAAGTGTTCAGGTCCCAGGATGGACCCCAACATCCAAGTCTGCCAGCTCAAATGTGTGTCTCTGGGGGACAGTCTGTCCTGTGTCATACAAGAGGATGACTTGCGGCAGCTTTTGTAGTGTGGTCTGTGGGATTGTGAGCCATAGGAACATGGAGACATTGTGTTGGGCACGTGGATCTCCTGATACGTAGCACTTTGTTAACACGAATATAGATTTGTCTGTTCTCATTGTATGTGTAGCCAAACACTAACTTGCTGTCAGTGCAGAATTCGACATCCTTGAGATCAATGTCCATGTCTGAGGAAATAAGCTCTGCTAGCTTAACAGTGAATACTGCAGCACAACATTCTAGTCTAGGGATAGTGTGCTCTGGGTGTGGAGCTAGTTTTGCTTTTGCCCATGACAAATCCAACGTGGCATTGTGCTGTAACATCTACCGTTTTTAAGTAGGTAACAGCTGCTATTGCTTTGACAGAAGCATCAGAAAATATGCAAAGTTTTTGACTCTGTACCTTTTTTGTAGAGGGTACGGGAGCATACGAGCATGAAACATGGAGATCAGATAAGGCTGTTAAAGAATTCCTCCACTCTACCCAAGATTTCTTCTTATCAGGGGGCAGTGGGGCATCCCACTCAGATGTTTCATAAGTTAAGTTTCTAAGTAACGCTTTACCTTTTGAATTGTGACGGGCTGCAAATCCTAATGATCGTACAAGCTATTAATTGTAAACAAGACACCTCTGCGAGTAAAAGGTTTTTCTTTGTCTATTTGGAATGTAAAGGAATCAGATTTCAAGTCCCAGAGTATACCCAGATTGCGTTAGACAGGTAAAGTCTGTCCCTAAATCTAAGTCTCTTAGATCATTAGCGTGGTTTTGGGAAGGGAAAGCTTCCATTACTTCTTTACACTTGGAGGCAACCTTGTAAAGCCTGAGATTGGAGCAAGCAAGCATCTGCTGTGCTCTTTTGAGGAGATTGAGTGCAAACTCATTGGCAGGTAGATATTTTAAACAGTCTACGTAAGTCTTTTTCTATGAATTGTCTAGCGTCTGAGCCATACTCGGACTCAAATTCCTGAGCTGAATGTCTTAGTTTGTAGATGGCAACTACAAGAGAAGGGTTGTTGCCAAAAATGTGTAATCTCATGTGGTACTCTGTCTTTTTTGAGGGATCATTGTCCCTGAACCAAAGAAATCAAGAAAGTTCTGCCTCTCTCTGACAAGGAAGCAATGGAACATCTGTTGGATGTCAGCTATGAAAGAAACAGAGTCTAAGGGAAGAGAAATGTTTCAGTACTTGTTCTGTTATTAGGTAGGTGTCACCTCCTGTGGTCTGAAGGGAAGAGGTGCAACCCAGCTGTTTGTGTCCTCTTTGACTAGTCCCTGTTCCATTATTTCTAAAAAGAGTTTATCGCCAATGGACCTTGCCACTTTATTATCCTCTTTTGTTCTTTTGAAAGACTATGCACCCTATATGGTCTTGGCACTGCCACAGGCAAGGTTGTCACTTGGGGAGGGCTATGAAGGGACAAGGCAAATGTGTCGCGTATAGTAACTCCTTTTTTAAGGAACTGATTAAGGCATGGCTGGGAAAGAGAGGGACATCCATTTAGTGTACTTGTAAGCATGCTGCTAACATGACCAATAATCTGAGCTCTCGCTTTGTGGACTCGTAAAATGTCTCTTCCAAGAAGTAGGATTATGTGTGCTTGAGGATCAAGATCTGGTATCAGATGTGCTATGCGTTTCAAATGTTGGTGATGAACCGCTACATCTGGTGTAGGGATTTGATCTATGATCAGGGATCTGATTGCATTCACTAAGAGTTGGTAAGGACAGGCAGGTTTGTCCATCAATAGACTCAACTCGGTAGCCAGATGCTCTCCTCCCAGCTGTCTCCACTATTCCTGAACAGGTTTTTAGGGAGACAGGAATGCTGGGGCTTTTGATGTCGAACATATCAAAAAAGGTTGAGCTGGCTAAAAACGTGTTACTTTGATCATCAAGAATTGCGTAAAGCTTAATGGCTTTGTCTTTTTGACCTGCTGGGTAGACTGACTAGACAGGTTTTGGACCTGCCACCTTTGACTCCTTTTGCAGAGCTCTTTACATTGTGAAGTGATCTCTGGTGTAGTTGCAGCAGTGTGATCTTCCTCTTCGACATGCTCACTAGTACTGTATGTGTGGTGTAAAGCCCATGGGCTCGCCAAGGGTGTGAAGCTGTGTTGTGATTTTGACCTGTGCGCTTTTAAGGTGTTTAGGGTGTAAATCCTCATAGGTTCGTACTGGGAGATGGACATTTTCAATTTTAGTCCCTTTTCCAGTGCTTATTGGCCCTACCTATTCAAATAACTTTTAATTTTGAAAGATCTTTCTTGTGGAACAATTTTTAAAATGTTTGGACACATTATTATTGGTGTCTTCCCCCTTTAATGTTATTATTTTCCCCTATTCTAACATTTCTAGGTGTGGGAGCTCTTCTATAAATTATAGTAGGCTTACCTTTTCAATGGAGGGCCTTAAATCTTATCTTTTAATGAAGTACCCCAATGGTTCTTTATTATCCCCTCCAATTTTATAAATTCTGCTAAGTAATTTGTTATAAATGTCAAGGGAGGGTCATTATTCCTATTTTTACATTGTAGGAGATTCTTCCTATCCATTTTTAGTATAATTTACTCTGTAGATATACTTATCTTTTATACCCCTTCTCTAAAAATCTCTGTTGAATAATCTGGGATTGTGTTCTATAATTATCTTCATTAGTTGCGGATGAGGATCTAGAGGAACCAAATACTTGGGACCTTTGTTTTCAGTGAAGATGCCCGACTATGTGACATGTTGCTTCGGGAGGTGCTTGACTGTGCTGAGACTTTATATGCAGGCAGCTGAGCTGGCGTGTAGCAGGCCTCTGTGTAGTCATCCCCCCCCCCCCCCCCCCGATTTTTTTTTTCTGTTGTGTTTTTTTTTCCATCTCCTAGTTCCCACCCTTTTAACCCATTACCTTTTTGCCAGGTATTTTACTAGAAGCTGCAGATTAAAAAATATTAAAAGCTACTTTTAAAATCATATTAGCATGACCTTTTAGTTATTGCGTTTACATATACTTGAAATTGTTTTATAATATTACCTTGATTTTAGAACCGCTTTTTCATGCAGGTGTTACTGTGCTGATGAAGTGTAGGCACAGTATCATAATTTCTCATATTGTCTCTTCTAGGCAAACATGGGGCTAATGGAAACGTCCAAGGAGAAATGGTCAATGGTAGTTGGTAACATGGCTCTGATCCAGGTATGCATTGTTATACATACACAAATCTATAATATTGGGATTTTCACTAAGTTTTCCCACTTGTGCCATTTGTTTTTGATTTTGTAGCATACATTATTTATATTCTCTCTGCTGCTGTCAACCTAGCTTCATAGACTAGTGCTCTACTTGGGACGCTTCTACTTTTTAATCATTCACCGTCCAGCCAAAAGTAAACAGCAGGATGGCTCGTACTTAAATGCTAGTTGACGTTTTTAAGGCCTTTTTCTGCATGCGCTATAGAGCCACCCACACTTCCAGCGGCTGATCTCCCCCCCTATCACTGAATCCAGAAGCAATGTGTATTACATCACTTCCAGTTTTATTGTGTGATTTCTCTGGCTGCTGTATCCAGAGAAGAAACTGGGGAAGCACGATCACTGCTTCATTAGCTTCTTTGGGGTCCATAGGTAACCTTAGCGGTCTAATAGACCCTTGATGTCTCCATAAATAGGACCTGTGATTGCATCTGTGCTCACATATGTGGTAGCAATAATGTTTAGGGCTACAACAACCAATTAATTTAATCGATGATAATCAAGAACGTGAATCGTTGTCAATAATTCTCACTATCGATTAGTTGAATTGCCCGCCCCCACTGCCGCTGCTCTGCTTCTCCTTGCTGGGAGCTACCGCATGCTGTGGTTTGTGTGCTCTTTAGTCTGAGCACTAGTCGGAGCACACATAGCGCTGATGCTGGCACCCAGCGGGGAGTAGAAACCGATGTGCCCCGTGCCCCCTTTTCTGCAGGCCTATGGACAAATTGTGAACCAAAGTTTTTCTCATTTTTACAGGCACATAAAACTTTGGGGCTTTACATGTTTGGTATCTTTTTACTCTTTGCAACCGTATCTTTTACAAAAAATATGTGTATTATGTTTTGTGTGCACTAAAATTAATTTGACCAATTCACCAATGCATTGGTTTACATTTTGTTTGTTTGGTTTTGATAAGCATAGTAACATAGTAGGTAAGGTTGAATAAAGACACAGGCCAATCTAGGTGTGTGTGTGTGTGTATGTCCACCCATACATACACGCATGTAAACATGTGTCAGGTGTGCATACGTGCAAAAACGACAATTGCGCACATGTTGAATATCACCGTGAACATCACAGTGAGAGCAATAATTCTCAGGCCATTTTAAAGTGTCGCCTATGGTCAATTTTGGCTATGGTAGTACTTTTTGTGGGTGCACGCAATTTTAAAGCTCAACATGTTTGGTGTCTATTTACCCGAAATGACCCCGTCTTTTATATTTTACCAAAAAAATTGGTAAGAATAAAATTTTTTCACAATTTTCAGTAAGTTTTCCTATTAATATAGTAAATAAATAAAAGCCCCAGTGGTGATTAAATAACAGCAAAAGAAAGCTCTGTGTTCCCAATAAATGGTATAAAATAATTTCAGTACAGTGTTGCATGACGAATAAATGTCAAAGTACCGCAGCGCTAAATACTGAAAAATGACCTGGCCAGGAAGGGGGTGTAAACACCTGGTCAGCAAGTGGTTAAGGAAAACTCATTTCTGCGTACCATGCAAACCGAACTGACTAGTTTATCTAAACATGAACTTACTTGGTTTGGGCGATTGGCAGCGTTCAAGATGATGTTACTTCCCCGCCTACTATACCTATTTCGGACTCTGCCAATCCCTATTAACCCTCCCTACTTCACTTCCCTCCGCTCCCTACTCCTTAAGTATATCTGGCAGGGCAAGAGCGCCCGTTGTTCTTACTCTCAATGAATTAAACACAGGTTGGAGGTATTGGCTTGACTGATCTTAAAAACTATTATTTAGGGTCTATACTAGACCAACTTAAATTCTGGGTGAAACCTTGCTCCGATATTTTATGGTGTGAGGTTGAACGTTCTATGGTGGCTGGATGTAATTTGTTTGTATACCCATTTAGCTTCCACTTGGTCCAAGTGTCCTACAGTGCACATTTCTCCTATGAAAGTTACTGTAACTGCCTAGCAACTTTTTATGTTTATCTACACTGACGGGCCCTAAATCAAAAATATTCTTACCCCTGAGGTCTGTGAGATCCTGGTGCCTGATTTATCTCTCAAATCTTGGATTTCCCATAACATAAGATTTATATCCAATATTGGCACGAACAATGATCTACATACCTTCTCCCGTCTCCAACAAAACGTTTCCCTTCCAGGAGACGAGTTCTTTAGGTATTTACAACTTAGACACCTCCTCCTCGGTAGTGGTAATGTGGAAATACTAATCCCATCTCATATATGGTCCTTTTACGATTGTCCATATCCAACTAGGAAATGCATTTCCCTGATGTATTATGTTCTCCAAAGTAAACTTCACTTCGCTACCTCTCCTCCTTTCCTTAAATGGGAACGGGATTTAGAGAAGCAGCACTCTTCCATACAATGGACCAAAGCATGACTTCTTACACCAATTGTGTCATTTCAATGGGAACTGTCCCATAAAATATTATTATGCTGGTATTTAACACCATATAGACTGTCTAAATGTATTTACGTCAACAAAAAGTTGAAACTCATTCAGACAAGAAGTGGGTGCAAAACTCAATCCTTTTCTGAGCAGGAATTCCTCATGGGCATAACAGATCATATTATTCATATAGGGAACATAATATGTATGAATGTGAAGGACCTAAATTATTATTTGATTTTCCATATTTTAGTCTGTCCAAGTGTGGAAATGCAGTATATACTGTATATATAAGCAGGTATACTGTGAGCCTGACAGAGCAGACCCTAAGTATAGTTTGAAAAGCTGTAAGGAATGTTCAAAGAATAGTTGTAGGAATGAACTAAGCTCAGGGCTATTATAAAACCCATTTATAGAGAGTATGGAACCTTGGCATGCTAATATGTAGTGGAAATAGAACTTAATTATGCTAATATGACTTTGTAAGGTAAAACATCTCAAATAATAATTTTAAAGTAGAACATGGATATAAGGACGGGGGACAGTCCTTCTGGAGAAAGGGAAATAGTCACCAGCACACCATTTTTGAAAATCAATGATCCATTTTAATGGCATATTGCCATCCAACACAAGCGCTTTCGGGGCCGCAAGGGGTCCCCTTCATCAGGCTCAGAATGACACATAGGTAACAGATACATCAACCTTTTATATAGACATCACACAGTGAGAATAAGAATAGACCACTCCCATACAAAAAAGTGACATCACAGAATCCATTCCCGCCATAACTAGTTCAAATCTAAACTAACCTCGACTGTTCCAGGTGCACCGAAGCGCCAGGAGAAACCGGGCCGTTGTACGCCCGGAGCGGGTGGTTGTCAAGGGGACAGGACGCTTTCATGGCCGTGAGCGCCGCCCATCTCTCGTGCGCCTGTCAACTGTAAGGGGCGCAGAGCGGCTTCCAGCTTGCGTTCCATCGTCGCTGTGCAACAGCCTACGCATGCGCAACAGTCTGCGCATGCGCGGCGCGTACCTCGGCCGCGAGGAGAAGGGCAGGGCTGAAGACTAACACTGCCGCATCCATGGAACGCACGACACTAAAAGCTTGCGCTTCAGCGACTGGGTGGCGCCTGCGCCGTGCTCTCATGTCTTAAAAAGGGGAAACTCGAGTTGTCATCAAGTGACAGGTTCTGCCCATGGGTGGAAGTTTAGTAAAAGGTTGTCCAGAGCAGATGAGATTACGCCTCCAGGGTATATAATACTACCTATCTCCAGTGGCGGAACGGATTCAGTGGAAAACTGAGGAATACAAATCCCAGCAATACATTATATAATGTATTGCTAGGATTCGTTGTATTCCTAATATAGCTGGTGATATTCTGCACTGCATAGAGGACTACAAAACCCAGCAACAGTACATTATACAGCGCAATGCGTTGAAAAGCTTCTAGAACACAAAACACAGACTAACCACACACCTGTTGAGGACTATTTTTACATGCAAGACAAAAGACACACATTTTGTTTTAAGCATCTACTAGATTCTCATGCTTGTAGACATACAAAATAGTTTCTGTTAATTGTACACACATTTTGAACTGTTACTTTCAGACATTTTTGTGATGTTTTCTACATTTTAAGTACGTCTCAATGACTTTAGGAAAAATATCTAACAGGCATTAGGCTTATAACTAGACAAATTATACATTAATATGGTATTTAAATCATTTATTGTAATTTGATTTCTTCTTTTTTTGCTGAGCCTTTTTTCCACCCTTTCTCCCTCTTCACCTCCTGAATCTTCCTCTACTTCCCTTTTCTTTTTTGTCAAAACCCTGGGTCTTTTGGCAATAGCTAAAAAAAAGTCTCAGCATCTTTTTAAAATGGATCCTTGTACAGTATAATGGGAGGAATGCTCATGAGGAATTACTGCTCAGGAAAGTATTCAGTTTTGCACTCCTTGTCCGGATGAGTTTCAACTTTTCGATTTAAATACATTTATGTGGAAACTCAAAAGGGTTCAAACTTACCAGGGTCTCCGCCGCGTGCTCCAGTCCGGACATCTGAAGATTCTCGGGCAGCCACAAAGGATCTTGGGGCAGGCGCATGCGCAGTTCAGATCTTCAGCCGGGAGATGAGGAGAGACACAAAGTCAGTCAATACAACAGCGTTCACCTGCACACACCGTGGGACAGGAAGTGCCAGTTAAGAGAGATAGTAGCAAGTGAGAGTTACTATATATATATGTCGTGTGTGTGTGTGTTTTTTATAATTAATATTATTTGTTACTATTTTTTAATCTTGCCATTTTTAGGTGCAGGCAACAGTTGTGGGTTTCTTGGCTTCCATTGCAGCGGTTATTTTTGGCTGGATCCCAGACGGCCATTTTTTTATGGACCATGGTGTACTGTTATGTGCAAGCAGCATCTCTACAGCATTTATTGCTTCTCTGGTGTTGGGTGAGAACATGCATAAATATGATAAATATAGATTATTGGCTTCTTATATATTTTTATACCATACTGTCATTTATTTAGAAAGTGAATGTGTTTGGAGAGTTGTCCACATTTTCACATATTTGTGTTTTTGTCAGGTCTTGTGATGATTGGGGTTATCATTGGATCCAAGAATCTTGGTATTAATCCAGATAATGTGGCAACACCTATTGCTGCCAGCCTTGGAGATCTGGTTACTTTGGCACTTCTGTCTGGTATAAGCAGAGTACTCTACATAGAAATGAGTAAGTAGCAAACATTGGACTGTATGATGAACAAACCGAATTGGACGTAGTTGAAAATGTGTATTTAAAATCTTAAGCAATAACCGCCAACAAATCATATAGGGAATTAATTATCCAAAGTGCCATCATAGAGGATTGGATTCCCAGGCATAAGTCTGTCACTTTTCCCAATTTGGCTTGCACAATTAATTTATAATGATCCTATCACCAACTTAAACATTTGCAGGTAAAAGCACATAACCTCAAGCATTTTAACTGCAGTGTTAATAAACTTTCTTATTCACTTGCAATGTGCCTCCGAACATGACTTGCTATTTCAGGACAGGAAGCCCATTACTGGCAGAATCAATTGGTGAAAATAAAGGGTAAAAAAGCCCCCCCAAATAAAGAAAATGAATGCAACAACCATTGAAGGACTGGTTAGATGCAATGTATTATATTATTGGTTTTGGGTTTAGATATATTTTAAATACTGCAAGATATTAGGCAAACTAAAATGTTCTCTTACTTGTACTTTACAGGGCACAGGATGGTGTTCTGGAACCATTTGTTTTGCAGCTGCCTAAAGAGTAGATTGGACACTGGCAAACAAAGCTGTAAGGACAGCTTTTTATAACCCCTCCCACTTCAGCAAGCCTCAGTTTTATTGCTTGTGTCCTTAGGAGAATGCAAATCTTCTCTCTGCAAACCTCTTATTTTTTTTTCTCCTTTTTGTATTTCTTCACATGATTTTTTTTTCTACTAGAAAGACTCTTTAGCTGCTGCAGAGCCATTGATGCTCATGTTTGCAGCTTTCGGATCAGTTACTCCTTGGCTTCACTCTGGGGGGACCATACCTGGACCGTGCAAGGAAGAAAATGCAGAGCCAGCCTCTGTTTTCTTTTGGGCAATGAACTCTGTGTTAGGTGCTCACCTAGGCATGTGGTGCAACATGTTAGCTGCAGGGTGCTGTACAGATCTAGGGTCATGGTGCACCCACTGCTTGGGGAGTATTCCCACTGGAGGGTGACGATCGCTAGATAGGGCTTTGTCTCTAACATGCATGTGCACTTCATCTTATCAACATGCATGTGGACCACTGGTATCCACTTCTCCTTTCCTCACTTTCCTCACCACAGCACAGTGATCCTCTGGACAGTCCTGGGCTTCCTTCCTGCAAACCCAGACGCTCTCTTGATTCCTGCCATCAAGCTGCAGCCACCAGCAGTACAGTAACAGGAGATCTCTACAACCTAGTGAGAGGAACAGACCAGAGCTTCTGTGACAGCCTCTTATGACAGATCTTGCCATAAGTGCATATTATTCTATTGTTTCCAACAGTTTTCCCTTTTGGTTTTAGACATGATCAGCCTACTGGTCTGTTTTTCTGTTTCCTTCCCACTTGATGCCAGCTACAGTGTTTACTGCGCAACACCTGCTCCACACAGCAAGGGAGAGATGCATTATAGCAGCTGACAAGTCCATTGATGGTGTATCCAGAGCATACACCCTGCTAAGCACTTCAAATTCCACCACAATTGTGACTAACTTTTATTCATTATTTCATCACCCACCTACCCAGTTAATGCTTCAGGTTGTGGCACTTATTCTTTGTTTTTTGTATGGGCATTACACTGCTCCATGCTGGGGGCATTGGGGAGAGGAAACACCGGGCAAGGTGGAGGGGAGGTGTAGCATTGCCCTGAGCTTACGGTGTCTGAGTGATTCTTATACAGCAAAGAAAACCTTGACCTTCTCTGTATGTAAGGATACCTCCTTATTGCGGGCTTCTATGATAAAGCTTTGTCACTGTTAGAACCAAAGATCCCTGCTTGGAGGCCAAGGTAGTCTATCACCAGCTGTAATGACTCTCTGACCTTTGTTCTGTTATCATGCATGCCCTTCAACATGGGCCATTCCATAACATAGAATGCTGATTCCCAACAAGGAGGTATAGGGGTACGCTTAAAAAAAACAATCAGTAGTGGTAATACATAGTGTCATGTGTTTACAATTGAAACGCTTGACACTGATCTAGGGCTGGCAGCATGATTGTCAGTTTTGGGAGCTTCTGTGTGACACAACCCACCCACTCTTCTACCCCTCCAGGTTACAGAAGAATTTTTGAGCCGGGCAAATATGAGACCACATAATTGAATTGTGAAAGAAACTCAGCCCATCTAGTGTGCAGTGAGCCTCTTGGCCTCCGAGAGATTAGAGGTTACATTCTATTGATCTGTTAGAATAAGAACAGGAACTGTAGTACCCTCAAGCAATTGTCTCCATTCTTTAGGTGTTAGAATTAGGGCCAGCAGTTCTGTCTCTGATCTGGTAATTGCACTCTGCTGGAGATAACTTTTTAGAATAGAACCCATAAAGGGTGTAAGGGACCATCTGGAATAGGGTGTTGAGACAGGAGGGCACCTACGCCTGTCTCGGACACATCAACCTCAAAGGATAAAAGGTAAGACAGGATCGGAGCAGTAGCAATTGCAGACTTAAGCGATTTGAAGGGCTTAACAAGCAGGAGACAAATTGTGTGGATAAATGCCTTTCTTAATCAGGTCTGAGTTTTTTTGTTTTTTTTTTACTAGAGAGGAAAACTTTCTGATACATTTTCGATAAAAGTTGGCAAAAAATGAACGTTGAATGAAGCAGAGACCAGTTGCACAAGGCCCTTGTAAACCAGCCTCCATGGCGAAACCCCTATGAAAAGTTAATGTAGCCCAAAAAAGTAACTTGGGACTGGTACAACTCCAGCTTACAGGGGAGCCCATTCTCGCGTAAACCTTGTAAAACTCATCTGAAGTCCTGACATTGAGATTCCAGGATGGAGGTGTGTATTAAAATATCATCTAAATAGACTACCACGTATTGTTGTAATATATCATGGAGGACCTCATTAATGAACTCCTGAAAGACAGCAGCAGCGTTGCACAATCCGAAGGGCATTACCAGATACTTGTAATGCCCGCTACTGGTTAATCAATGACAAGATTACTGTATATTCACACCTTTTAGATCGAGCTTGGTAAAGACCATTACTCCCATGATTTGTAGGACTCGGGTAGGCATTCTTGATCATGAAGTGATTTAAGACCCATGTAATCAATACAAGGTCTCAACTTACCACCCTTCTTCGTTATAATGAAAAAGCCAGCTCCTGCTAGAGAAGTGGACTTGCGAAAGAAACGCATCCGCAATGTACTCCTCCATTACCTCACTCTCTGCAACAGAGAGTAAACCCTGCCACGAGGAGGGACTTCACTGGGTTGCAATTTGATAGCACAATCATAAGGATAATGTGGCAGAAGGGTACCAGCATGCACCTTATCAAAGATATCCTGATACTCCAGATATTCGGTTGGCAAAGGATGTACAAAATACCTTTTAAAAATGCTAGAGGGCATAATAAAGGATTATCTGGTAGAATTTGTTCAGGAAAACGGGATAGTTAATGACAATCAGCATGGGTTCAGGAAAGACCGTTCCTGCCTAACTAACTTGCTAACTTTTTATGAGGGGGTGAGTAGAGATATGGATGGAGGGAGGCCGGTAGATGTGGTATATCTGGATTTCTCAAAGGCTTTTGATACGGTACCACACAAACGCTTGCTACACAAGCTGAGGGCTATGGGCATAGATGAGGTGGTGTGTACGTGGATAGAGAACTGGCTACGGGAACGGGTCCAGAGGGTATCTGTAAATGGCACCTTTTCAGACTGGGCTAGTGTAATGAGCGGTGTGCCTCAGGGTTCTGTGCTGGGTCCCATATTGTTCAACTTATTTATTAATGACATCGGGGAGGGTGTTAACAGCGATATTTCCGTGTTTGCGGAT